AGATCCCTCCCTTTTGCTGATCTTTTCTGGTCGGCCATCTGATCTTGAGTATTGAGCGAAGACAACTGTTAATGAAGGTCTGTAGTTTGTTTGAGATGCTCTTTTTGACGTGCAGTGCAAGTCTCTGATCCGTATAGTAAGTATCACTGACTTCACATTGGATTTGAAAATCCGGATGTTATTTTTGATTCTGAGTGGGGCTGTTGACTTAAGGGTAATGAAAGTCTGTCTCGCTTTTCCGATTCTGGCTTTGATATTCTCGTCAGTTCCGTCCGTCTGTAGTTGAAACGATGCTTCCCATATCGGTAGGTAAAGGAGGTTGTTTCTTTCAGGTTCCTTCCATTCATGCTGATTGTTGTCTGTTGTTGTTGTTGCTGTTGGTGATGGTCAGGAATATTCATCACCTCTGTTTTCTCTATGTTTACCTGAAGTCCTATCTTCTCTGGATGCTTCTTCTGCCAACATGTTGCTTCTAACTCGCATATCTTCCAGTTTGTGGGAAATCAGACATATGTCATCATCGGCGAAGTCCAGATCCTCCAAGTTTTTTATACGAGTCCATTTTATGCCCGTTTCCTCATTGCCCGTTGTCTGTCTCATTATCCAATCTACTGCAATCAGGAAGATTATTGGCGATAGTAGACAGCCTTGCATCACTCCCGTCCTCACTTCGAAGGATTCCGTAAGTTTCCCATTGTGGATTACTTGGCATGCAGCATTGTCGTATAACTGTTGGATGAGATGTATAATTGTCGATGGGACTCCGTAGTAGCGAGGTATTTGCCAAATGACCTCTCGATTGACGCTTTCGAAGGCCTTTTCAAAGTCGATGAAGTTGAGATAGAAAGGTGACTGCCATTCTAAGCTTTGTTCAATGATGATTTGTAAAGTGGCGATTTCATCAATACATGACTTGTTTATCCTGAATGCAGCTTGTTCCGGTCGAAGTTTTTCATCCAGGTTGGCTTGTTTGATTCTCTCCAGGATGATGCGGCTTAGTATTTTGCTTGGAATGGACAGGAGCATATTTCCGCGCCAGTTGTTGCATTAACTTAAGTCTCCTTTCTTTGGTAGTTTGAATAAGTATCCTTTCTTCAAATCCTCTGGTACTTTGCCCTCTTTCCACACCTTCTCCAGTGATGGCGTCATTAATTCCGCTGTTGTCTCTGGATCCATTTTCAAAGCTTCTGCTGGGATTCCATCTGGTCCTGCTGCTTTTCCAGCTTTCAGCATCTTGATTGCATTCAGGACTTCTGATTTCGTAGGGTTGTTCGGTGTTCACTAGTAGTTCTGATTCCGTCGTTGATATTGTTGGGCGTGTTGTAGGTGGCGGACGATTTAGAAGTCCTTTGAAGTGTTCAGCTCAGTGTTTTCTTTGCTCCACCTCATTGGTGATTGACTTTCCATTGTCGTCCTTTATTGGCTTAGTCTGTGTCGAACATTTGCTCGATAGGTGCCTAGTTGTTTGGTAGAGTGTGGCGAGGTCTCCTTTGCCTGCAGCTTGTTCTGCTTGAGTTGCTATGGTTTCATAATATTTTCTTTTGTCTTCCCTGGCACTCGTCTTCACTCTTCTGTTCAGCGTGTTGTAGCTTGCATTCAGCTCCTGTTTTTGTTGCTCGTCAGTGCACTGGATAATCTTTTGTTTGACCATCTTTCTCTCTTCTATTAGTCTCCAAGTGTCCGTAGTGAGCCACTGTTTGTCCTGTCTCTTCTTTCTGCCTAGAGCTTCCATCCAGGTTTGACTCCACACTGTTTTCAAGTTGTCCCAGTGCTTTTTGACGCTGACCTTTTCGCTGGTGTTGATTTGTGTCTCGGCTCTGTCCCTTATGCTTGCAATGAAGAAGTCCTTTGTAGCCTGGTCCTTCAGTTTTTGAGTGTTGAACTTGGCTTGTGGTCTATTCGCAGCTCCTGTTTCCCTGAAAGCTTTTAATTTGATTTGGATTGTCCCTTGTACGAGATAGTGGTCTGAGCCAACGTCTGCTCCTCTTCTTACTTTTGTTTCGAGTAGGCTGCGCCTCCACTTCCTTGAGATTAAAATGAATTCAATTTGGTTTTTTGTTTGCCTACCTATGTAGCCTTGTGGATATCTTTGTGTTTATGTACGCTGCCACCAATCGCTGGTTCGTTGAAGGCGCAGAATTCGAGGAAGAGTTCTCCATTTTCATTCATTTCTCCGAGAGCTTCTCTACCTATGATGAGTTCTCTTCCAGTGTTTTTTGGTCCCAGTTTGCCTTTCATGTCTCCCATTAGTATTTTAATGTCGCCAGCTGGAGTATTGTCCATTGTTGCCTGTAGTTGTCTGTAGAATTCTTCTTTCTTTTCGAGGTGTGCGTTGTTTGTGGGTGCATAGCATTGTATAATTGACACTTTCCTTTCTTTGGAGTTGAATCTGGCAGTCATTATCCTGGACGAGATTGGCTCCCATTGCATCAGGACCTTTGTTGCCGTTGGTGACATCATGATAGCCACGCCCTCGGTGTGCGTGTGATTATCTTCTATATTAACGTGTTTGTTAATTGCATTTTCGTTTGAGTATCAGGCTTCTAAGAATTCCCTGACTGCACTTTTTGTGTTTCCTCTGTCTAAGATTTCGACATTATCCCAATCAAATTGATGTCCATAATTGTCTATATGCATTGATACTAAAGAATTTATAGCATGTCTTTTCACGGCTGATTTTTGTTCTTGGATTATAATTCGAAGGGGACGCCCACTTTGGCCGATGTAATGCTTGTTGCAGTTCATACAATTTATTTTGTAAACGGTATTAATTTTATCCGCTTTTTCTGTTGGATCTTTTGGTTTGCATAATATCGAATTGATTTTCAGCAGTTGATTTAATTCCATTTCGGACACTAACTCAGTAGTCACCACTTTCAGACTTTAAGACGTTATCGTCAAGGCGGCTGTGTTAAGGCGCCTACAACTTTTCATCGGACATCAGTATATATATATATATATATATATATGTACTAGACACTTCATTTTGTCCTTACTGAACTAATGTGCAGCTTGGAATACACTTTATCTTTTCACAGTATAATGTATATATAATTTTTAGTGTACAGTATACTGACTGTTCACTGGCGAGTCATCAAAGTAATATGTTTAGTCCCTAGTGTTGGTACTGATTATGTTCAATCAGTCATCCCTGTAATGCAGCATTGCAGACACTGACAGCTTTCTTTGAGATTCAAACCTATGTCATCCGGTTCTACGGTGATAGACACTAACAATGAGTTTTTCGGGTAAAAGTCTTTCCGAAGAGTCTCAATTAGCGTGAAATTCGAGCTCAGAGCGTCATGTGGATAAAATCCAGCTACTTAACATAGTGTACAGTAGTCTCGTGGCACCCAGCCTAGCGGTAACACTATATGTCGCCTTGTTAAAATTTAAACAATCCATCAAGGTCTGAATAATTACTTTGTTAACTATTCACTAACCACTTCAAAACTGAATCTCTTATAAGTGAAAAACTACGACTGTGACCTAGCCCATTTTCCGGAGTCATCTCTCCTCTGTATAAATTTCTACACAGAGTATGTTATGATGATATATATATATATATAATTCCAAAAGTTTGGAAAATTTCCCTCATTCTCTCTGATATCCTAATTTTCACGATATTTTCCGCTTTTAATTGACAATTCAGTTCCACAAATGAGATCTTAGTTATATAATCTTATCATTCAAAGTGATCCTTGAGTTACATAAGGATAATCGATACCAGTCTCGTATAGAAAAAGAAAGAACAATTATTGGATCCTGTCGACAAAGATGTATTCAGCATAATGTTCAAGTGAGATTCATTGATAAAATCTGCCTTCCAAGTAAAATCTTTAAGTTATGATTTCTGCATTAGCTTGTATAAGTATGAGGTCAACAGTTATTGATTTAAATACAAGTTCTTATGCCATTTCCATTTCCGTAGCATGATAATTAAGTTTCCATCGGTGATAGTTATTGTTGTTTCGGGACAGAAAGCCTCAATCTGCTCAAAAATATTAAATTTCATACATGGAAACTGAGAGAAATGAATGCTTAGGACAACCTTTATATGCATTCCTGAAATACTATCATAATCCATTCACAGTATGTAATGAAGACTAGACTAATTATTTTGTTTGGTAATCTCTTCTGGCGTCGGTGGTACAGCGGTTTGTACGCTCGGCGACCATGCACATGGTCCGGTGTTCGGTCACCGGCCACCGACGCACTCCTCGCTAAGCCAGAAATAATGCTGGTAAAGAGGAAAGGTTGGGCATGAGGCTAGCAACCCCATCCTGTAAAAAATAAACACTGCTACAGAAACTTCACGCAACTAGCTTGAGGCTCTATGTTCCACTGGGAACGTGAAAGAAAAAATCTCTTATAATTTCTGCCGTGGCCATCATAAACAGGTAATTCTTCTAATAGTGACTATCCCACTGACTTTCTTATCTAAACTTCCTGTTTATTCATGTTACCTTTAAGTTTTTCCTAATCCCTACCTACACTACCATATTTTCATATCCAAACTTCGTGTCTATTTTGTTATTTTATTATTTCAACATATTTAATCCCTGATTGCATATACAATTATTCGTCACATTAGTTATGATCTCACTAGGCTTTTTATCCAAACATCCTGTCTGCTGTTATTATTTCTACATTTCTAACCCCTAGTTGCACAACATGTCAATATTCTCAGTAATTATGATGCTACTTTGTCTGAGCTTCATTTGACCCCCTGTTTATCATGGCATTTTAATTGTAATTCCATTAATCTGACCCTTGATCAGAAATTATTCTGAAACTTTCTTACCTGCTTATTACAAATACACGAATGTACAACCTAGTTGATGATTTCGTCGAAAAGAAAATTTTCTTCGCTGCAACTGTCTTTTTTATTTGGTAAGTAGTCGGTGTTACTTTCATTGTGGCATTTACACATTGTAGTGTGTATTTACTTTTTCAAAAGTTATAATCTCTTTTTTTTATCTCCCCATTTTCTTCTCTAGTTACAGCCAACAAAATCCAAATCACGTTCAACTAGTCGAGTTCGTAGTTCTTTAAAATTAAGAAATAAAAGTAATGAGAGAAGTGATTGTAATCACACTAGTCACAATAACAGTAGTAACACCAATAATATTAATAATAATAATACACATTTTAATCTTCATGAAAGAAAACTTCAAAGTCCGAAAAATCGAAGAACTCGTATCGGTCAATCTCCAGCTAGAAGTAAAAGTAGCTTCTTCAAAGGTGAAAATTACACTAGACCTATTCATTCGCCAGTCAGCTACTATCTAGATCTTGATGATAAAGTGGACTATGGTCGAAATTATGCAGATTATCAATCTAAATTTAGTCCTGTAAGTAAATTGGTGATTTATTTGTCCTTTTTATACTTAAATGTTTTTCATAAGTAACAGTTAACTTCTTTGTGAAATGAAGTTTAATTAGTGAGAATTAGTAACATAATATGGTAAACGACATAATTCGGTAGGCGGTTTTATTAACTACTTTGATGTTCACAGCTGTCAGCCTTTCACTATTATTATTCTTGTTCCCTTGGGTTCCTAGTGGAACATAAGGTTTCAAATGCACGTCTCCACTTGCCACATCTGTCTTCTGCTATACTTTTCACCTGCGTCCATGTTACTCCACACTGTTTCAACTCCTCAACTCTTCACACGATCTCCTCCATGTCACCCTTGCACTGACGTCCCACTCGCCGATTCCCTTTCGGGTTCCACTCGAGCAATGGCCTGACCCGCACGCAATGTCACCCAGCGGCCTCCTCAGCTAGTGTACAATCCATCTCCACTTTCTCCTGCATATTTGTTGGGCGATTGATTGGTTCTTGTTTTGTTTGTCTGTTCCCATAGTTTCTTGTTGGTGATTCTTTCCGGTCCGGCCATCTCATCTTGAGTATAGATCCAGCGAAGACAGTTGTTGGTTGATAAAGGTCTGCAACAGGCTGTTAGAAATATTCTTTGTGACCCGCCCACCAGCCAAGTTTCTGATCCGTATAGAAGAACTAACTTGACGTTTGTATTGAACATCCGACCGACTGAATTTTGTTGTTGATGCTGGCTGAGTGACGAAGATTTCCAGATTGGTTTCAGGTTGATGAATGTGTTTCTCGCCTTCCCGTTTCTCGCTCAATTTGACATCCTCGTCCGTTCCGACCGTCTTTAGTTGAGACAATGCTTCCTAGAAAAGTGAATGAAGTAACCTCTTTCAAATGCCGCCCGTTGGTGGTGATTGGCGCCGGATGTTGCTGTTGTTCTTGTTGGTGGTTGGTTGGTTATTTTCATCACCTCCGTCTTGTCTATGTTCACCTGGAGTCCTGTCTTTGCTGCTTCTTCGACCAGTTTGTCGGTTTTCTCCTGTAAATCTCCGATTTCGTGTGACATGAAACATGAATAATCCACGCGCGAAATCCAGGTCTTCTAGGTTCTTCACGTCGGTCCAGGATATACCTGTCCCGTCTGTCGCTGACTAACATATAAATGACCCAACAAAAGAGTGGTGAACTTTTTTATGGGCAGCTACTACCGAGTGAAATGTTTATTACTCCTTATAATGAAAAAGAAATCACAACTATTGCCTGTATATATATCACCAAATAAACATTTGTGTCTAAATCTGTCGTTTAAGGAAACAATATCATCAAAACTTTAAAAATAAGTGGACAAAACGTTTTGCAGAAAACTGGGTTAAGTTTGCTACTTGTTGTACAACTTCGAAGTAGGCGAAGGACAAGTTGTCCCTTCAACGGTTTACATTACCCCTTTAACCAGTGTTTAGCTTTGTTGGGTAAGCACAGAGCGAATTTCATTCAACGATGAATGAATGTTTTCTTGGTGGGTAAGAAGCCTCACATTGATGAAATATTGTCTTTCGTCATTTTACTTTGATGATTTCTAAGAAAATATTCCGTCTTACCTTCTACATCAAGAAGTCAAGACATTCTGGTATAACCCAACCCTTACTCCTACGATTCATTAACTCCCGTATTCTGCCTATTATTCTCTGTTGTTCCCCTTAGTTTTTCCAGGGCCGGCTACTGAAGAAAGACTATACTTTATTATGTAGGATGTTAAAGGTTGTCAGCAGGGTAAGCAGTTTGCCACTTAGCCAGCTTGTTAATATTCTGGTGGACAGGCATATGGACTCATGTGAAAAATGGGCGAAATCCATTTTATCTGACTCACAACACCCTCTTCATTCACAACTCTCCTCTTGTATCTCATCAGGCAAAAACTATATGCTCGCACTAGTAAGTACAAAAGCTCAACCATACCCTACTTAGCTCGTGTTCTGTGCGATAAAGAAAGCATTAGGCGTGAAACCTTTAACTTATTGAATAGTCAGTAGAACAACTGGATCTCGTCTTTCCAGCTCATATCATGTATAGGTACAACGTTTTTCTTTCTTTTCCTTTTCTCTCTCCTTTTTTCTGTTATGTGCAGCTTTGTTTCTTTCTTCTGTTTACGCCAGTAAATATGGTAGCGTCTACTTTTCTAACAACTTCAAACACTCTGTTCAGTTTTGGCTTTGCTACCAACATGCTAATAAGTTGTCATAATGAACTGAGATTTCCTTAATCTATATAGAATTTTCTTTATAGATAATGTACTAACTGGATGTAATATTGTAGTAAAATGCTGAGAATTCCATTCTGTATCACAAGTACTGTTTTGGAATAAAGCTATTATTATTATTATGCATTCTATCTTTATTCCTGCTATTCAAAGCTAAATTACACTAAGATACATTTCATCACATATTTTAAAACCCTCAGTTATGTTTCTGGATGCCCGCTTATGTAATTAATCTTGTCAATTAGCTGCTCTTCTTTCTATTCCTCTGCCTAATTAGCTTTTCCTGACAGATTTATCACTTATCGGCATTAATTATTGACTTATATAAGTGTTTGATGCACATATACGAAGCAACAGAAGTTACTACCATGTAAACTTAACCCACAGGTCGATAGGACACGCCGACAGGGAATTTATGTAATATGATTCACAATTACCAATGAGATGCTCACTGGCGACTGGCCCTATTCAGGTGGGTAGTTACCTGGGTTCCAGTGGGAAGTCGTGACTATTAGGGTGCAGCGGGTCGGGTGTGAGGACAAATACTCGCCGAAGATATTGGCTAGCGGTCGCGCTATGTCGTGAGTTGGCAGAAGTTAGAGTTCATGGGCCATTGGATCGGGTCCCAGTGGCTTAATGGTATACGAGCTCGCTGGCCTTATAACCAGAAGGTCCTAGGTTCGAACCACCTGTGGTGGATGTGTACTGCTGAACAGTCCCAAACTAAAACGAAACAGCTGTCCAGTACTCCCAGGTTTTCCAATGGTTCTCTAACCAATATCACCTTATGATGAAATCCTGTAACAAATCAAATCTCTACAAACCAACACTTTAATCACACTGGTCTTCATGGTTAAACTACTTAGGAATGTGAATCTTTTTCGCTGAAGTGCCTTTCACCTACAAATTATAATTCGTTTTTATAAGTTATTTTGTGAGTACTCCTAGCTTTAAAAATATCTCCATATCCTTAATTCATATTTTCCGTTTATTCTCTCTTCTATCACGGATTTTATTCTACGAAGTGCTAATGATTTGGTTGAATTTTCTTTTATCCGTGGCTAAATTTGGTTCATGAGATGAAAGTACATTATAATCACGTGAGCATCAGAACTTCACTGCGTCTGAAAATACTTCATTGAGTGAAAAACTGATACACACCAAACTTCACAAATTCCTATTCACCCTGAAACGGCGAAACACGCCATTTTTCATTCATATGATGACATGGATATCAAGTTCTTTAGCGTTTCTCTAGTAAACTGAATACAGAGTTGCATCCAATGATCATCCACTATTAATTCATAAGTAGCTTAATCTTGTGGTCAATTTTACCGACTCTTTATATGATGATCGTTACCTGTAAATATTTCGATACTTCCTCCATCTCCTGAAAGCATAACAATGTTCCGAGTTATTACAGCTTGTAGTTGTTCATCAGTTATAGAAGGCAACACTGTTTATCATGTTTACAGCTGAGCTTACTCGTCTAAAATTCGTAGTTGAAATTACAATGTAGAATGAAACTAGGAGTGGTTCTTGTCTTCGCCTTTGAAATCCCAACATTTCGTTTTTCTTTTGAATATCTGAGTAGCTTAAGATGAGTACATAACCGATTGTTTATCCTCTTATGGATGAATAGAAGAAGGCAGATGGAGTTTGTTGGTAATGGTCAGTATTGCACTTCTATACAAATGTGAGAGGTAATCCTGGAATACTAATCTCGATCACCAGTTATTTGCTCGCCGTTTCACTCTGGGCATATCTTTAAACCTTAAAAGGATAATAGATATCATAAATTCATGAGTGAAACCCTAAACACAACTAAACTTCATTCACAATTTGGTCAAAAATGAGACGTTGAATAGGTTCTACTTGCGTCTATAATCTAATACTTTGCAATGACTGTGTAGATGGATGGTGAGGCTGTCATAACCGTTAATAATATGCGAACGTAGTTAAACTTGCCTCAGTAATATGGATGTTAAAATCCTTGGTTAATTAAATTATTCTGTACTTATAATCATGAAAGTTTGAAATATTTATTTGTACATTGAAATTACTCATTATAGGTGAACGCGGGGAGTTGTGACTCACCAGTAAATTATAATTCTTTGGATGCAAGTAATCTGCATAAAAAGAATCATTTATCGGAACAACAAAAACAAGGAAGTGAAAGAAATTCAAGAGACCATGATTTATACTGCAAAAAATCTCAGTGAGTACTTTACACGTTGAGCATTTATTTACTTTTGATAAAGTTTAAAAATTAAAATAATATAGTGGGGTAAATTGAAGGCATGACGAAAGTATTCCAAGTCAAAGTAGAATTCGGGGAATCTTCAAAATTGTATGGCTTCAGGATATCAACTTGCTGAACAGATGTCCAGTAATGAAGAACTAGTCCTTAATATTTTCGAATTGTATACCCATATTCCATTTTCCTCATCAGTTAGCGAAATACAGAACTATGATGGAATAGAAGAAGGCTTCGTTTCATTGGAACTTTAGAAATTGACTGAAGAGAATTTACTCTATTCGGATGTATTGCCTTGTGCTACTAACCATAAATAAATCTAAGGCCATTAAAACTTCTCAAAATAAGATTCTCAGAAAATATTACTTGTTCTTTTGGATCCATTTTACATGAAGTTTATGAGGCACTCTGAGTTTATTTTCCCAAGTGCTGACTCATTTTAATGAGTTAAAAGTGCAAATACGCCATGGCTGTAGTCATTTTAGTGCCAAAGTGAAATTTAGTGCCAACAGAAATGACACTGTGAGTAAATTTATTGAACAATTTGGATAAGGATAAGAATAATTTTTGTATGCGAATCAAAGTGTGTTTTTCGTATCACTTTTCGAAACTGACAAAATCGATTCTAAAAATTCAGCTTTCTTTAAAGTTACACTTTTCATCCTCTATCATGCTGGTGCAACCGGAGAAAATCTGGGGGCATTGTAGGCTTTCACCAACAATCAAGTTTCTTCGCCTATTATTGGACTTGATAATACGAACGATGATGCTGAAGATTAAGAGACATTTACTAAACAGATTATGGCATTGGTAGAACTTAGATGGTTGTTTTAATACTTCTCAGCTAAAAAGCTTGTTGAAGTAGCACCGAACCTAATCACGATCATTACTGTCCATTCAGGACTTCTTACGAATTCGGCTAAATTTCCAGCTATAACTATTCAAATACTAGGGAACAGAAAAAGTTTTGCACAGAGCTCTGCACAGAAATGTGGGCTGATTTATGACAAATTACATCACGTTAATTCATGCTCAGAAATTGTCGGGATATAATTTTTCACTGTGTGTGACTCAATAATGTTTCATAAAATACACAGAAAAATGCAGTAGATAGTGTGAATTACAATAAAGTGGATTCGTCGACTCGTCTCCTACATCTAGACTATAGTGTTTGGGTTTTGGTCATTACAGTTTCTGCATTATCAAGGATATTACGCAATTTAAACTGATTTCATCGCATGCTTTGAAAATGTCCATATAATTTAAAAAAAATGTAAAATGAAGATCAATGGTCATATTATTATTCAAATGACTAAGAAGCTGAAAGACTGTTATTATTATTACTACTCCCCTGGCTTCTGAGTGGAACGTAGGACTTCAATAGCAGTATTCTACTTCGCTCTACTTAGCGGACCTTCATTAGCTAGCTCCATAGTTACTTATAAGCTTTCATCTCCTCCAACATTACTCAACAGCTTCCTCAGTGGGTGTTGGATCCATCTAAATTTCCTTCCGCATATTTGTTAAGCAGTAGGTTCTTGGTTAGTCGGTTCCCAGAGTCCCTTGTTCCTAATCTTTTCTGGCCATCTGGTTATCAGTGTGCAGCGAAGGCAGCTATTGATAAACATTCTGCAGCAGGCTGTTGAAAATGATTTCATTGAAGCATACGCAAAGTCTCTGAACCACTTAGAAGGACTGAGTGACTTGACATTACTGTTGGAAACCCGTATCTTATTCTTGTATCATCTAAAGACTGTTATGCAAATTAATAAACACGTCTAAGAGAATGCACCAAATGGCTGTTTCATCGACGCTTGTATCAGATAAAAAATAATGCTTGAGAATGACATATCAAAAGAACACAAATTATTGCACTATTAATTGGAATGGTCATAGGCGGAATAAATTGGAAATCTTATTCATTAATAACACTAGAGAGTTTTAAATTGGATTCTCTAGAATATAATTAGTTTCTATAGATAGTACTGGACTTCGCCGATGATATATGTCTGATTTCCCACAAACTGGAAGATATGCAAGTGAAAAGCAACAAGTTGGCGAAAGAAGCATCCACAGAAGATAGGACTTCAGGTGAACATAGAGAAAACAGAGGTGATGAAGATTCCTGGCCAACACCAACAGCCACCACCATCAACAACAGACAACAATCAGCCAGCATAAATGGGAGGAACCTGAAAGAAACAACCTCCTTCACCTACCCACCTACCTGGGAAGCGTCGTTTCAACTACAGGCCCGCGGAACTGACAAAGATATCAAAGCCAGAATCGGAAAAGCGAGACAGGCTTTCATTACTCTTAAGTCTGTGTGGAGGTCAACAGCCCCACTCAGAATCAAAAATAAGATCCGGATTTTCAACTCCGGTGTGAAGTCAGTGATGCTTACTATACGGATCAGAGACTTGCATTGCGCGTCATAAAGAGCATCTCAAACAAACTACAGACCTTCATCAACAGTTGTTTTCGCTCAATACTCAAGATCAGATGGCCGGCTAGAAAAAATTAGCGAAAGGGATCTCTGGCGATGAGCAAAGCAACACAGCAGGAGCCGATTGAGAAACAAATAGGCAGGAAGAAATGGAGGTGGATTGGCTGGCCATAGTCTGAGGAAACCATCAAATGACGTCACTAGACAAGCCATCGCTCGAATGGAACCCGAAAGGGAAGCGGCGAGTTGGTCGTCAGTGTGAGGGTGACTTGGAGGAGGTGATGTGAAGAGGAGATGAAAGCATGTGGGCAGACTTGGAGCGGAGTGAAAAAGTTGGCAGAAAATAGAAGTCAATGGAGGCGCGCAGCTGAAGCCCTATGTTCCTCTAGGAATTAAAGGATATAATAATAGATAGTACTGACTGCAATCATGGTTATGACAAGAAATGACTTAATAAAAATTTCATGCCTATTGTTATTGACTCAGTATTTATGACTACTGAAAATTAAATTTAAGTAAATTGCATTTCCTGTTAACGTACTTTTGCATTTGTTTCTGCAAGGAGTTTAAAGTGGAGAGAGAAAGAGAGAATACGTAAACTTAGGGAAACTGGACGATTTATCATCTTCAAAACCGTACTTACTTTGCCTTTTATCTTACTTACACTCAGAATAATAATGCAATAGCTCTGAAGACTAATAATAGGGCAATTATGAATGCTTTAATGTCCGCAAGATTATTGATTCAGGCAACATTAAATCTAATTAACAGTTAGTTAACGAGTAAAATGGGAGGGATTCATTTAGAAGGTTTTTTTGGCTTCTTGTCATTTCAGTAAAGTAAAATGGAGTGTCAAGGAACTTAACCCTAAGTTCCTATGATTTACGAAGACGCTCAGAATCGACAACTACTAAGTATGATTATTGACTTGAACTCCAAAACACAAAGAATTGTAATAAGAAAATATTTTCTTCAGCACTTAAATTCGAAATATCATACATAGTCTATAAACAAATGTTTTGCGAATAATATATAGTACTTTTAATCGTATTCTTTCGTCTTCTTTCTACTTCCACACGATTGAACCATTCGCGCCTTCGAGTTGCCCGCCAATAGCTACCAAGGTCAATGAACCTACGTTCAATGTTCATATTCCTTAACATGGAGTTTGAAGGTGGTTTAAAGCACTTTTGCCTTAAGACAGTATTGACGTCAGATACGTAGAGACAAACTATCATACAATAGTGTATCTCTAGGATATTATTGTATTTTTAGGCTTTCCTGGCTGAATGATGAAGTTTTCATACCACGCCAAAAAAGTACCGACAAAAGAACGCGATCTGGTGAAACTTCTTGCAGTTTAAAACACAGATTTGTTACAGGATTTCATTATGATCTGACAACAGTCAGAGAACTACTGGAAAACGTGGGACTAATGGACAACTGTTTCGTACTAGTTTGGGACTCTTCATCAACATGCACCCACCAAAAGAGTTCGAACCCAGGACCTTCTGGTTACAAGGCGAGGTCGTAGGCCACTGGGACTTGATCCAATGGCCCATGAGTTCTAACTTCTGCGGATTCACGGTATAGCGCAACCGCTAACCAATGTCTTTTGGCTTTTTATGTGTGACTTGTCAAACTCTTGTGAACTTATGTTGCTGTCAATCTGTCTGATAACTTCCATCTCAACTCAGTATACTTATTATTCTACTTTCAATTTATTTGTTCATTGCTCATTAAACTAAGTTATGGTGTTGTTGGTGAAAAGGATCAAGAAACAGTATTGCATAGATAAAGCGATATTTACAGTTTACTTCCCGTGAAGTATAACTTACATACATGATGGAGTGAAAGCTCAGTGTAACTGTCCAGTTTGACACCAGAAAATCTCTTCTTTCAAATGTGAGCAGTAACTGTTGTTCTTTTTATTTTTCCAAATCTTTTTCAGATCACTTCGAAAAAATTTGTATCCAGTCCGTTCAAAATCACCATGCCACCGACAATCAGATATATCTTCTGGATCGTTGGATAGATTAAGAAAACGATGTCGTTCAATAGAAAGGGAATTGAGTTCAGTTGAAAGGTGAGTTTCCTTGGCGTATAGTTGAATTATAAAACAAGTGGTAATATCTGAGTTGATATTTCACTGATGTGGCAGTTATTTACACATTTACTAGGCACTGCTTAAGGTATATTATATTAACAAGCATTCATGTAACCCTATTTTGTAAAGCGATATTTACTGATAATGAAGTAAACTTGGTAGGCAGATTTTTAAAACTGTCCATTTCTACCGTTGAAACTCTTTTTACGTCAACAGCTGGTAAGACTATTTGAGTTCATGCTGAATTTATCAACAATTTCCCGATTAACATTATTTCTTTAGTTCCTAGAGGAACATAGGGCTTTAGCCACACGTCTCCACTGCTTTTGGTTTTCTGCCAACGTTTTCACCCCGCCCCAAGTCTGCCCACATGCTTTCATCTCCTCTTCACATGATCTCCTCCATGTCACCATTGCAATGACGACCAATTCGCCGCTTCCCGTTCGGGTTTCACTCAAGAGCCTGTCGTGTGACGTCACTTGATGGTTTTCTCAGAGTATGGCCAATCCACGTCACGATTAACATGGAACTATCAATTCATATGTTAGTTTACCTCTTTTTGTTAGTTTAAGGTTCAATGAAACCAATAGTAATTTTACTGGACTCAGAATTATCTTGCCCAACTTTTGAGGTTTACTCTGCTCTATCATGAATGTTTTTAAATTCCCCTTTTATTTCATGGAATATTTTACTGATCAACTTGTCAATGAAGGTCAAGAATACACTGATTCTTTTCTATTGTTTAAACTTTACCAAATGCGAATTAAAAATTAATTAATTAACTGGTTCTGGTAACTCGTAGTTTCAAAATCAAGTCTGTTCATAATACAGAAAACTTTCCTCTTGAATTCATCCTTTGTTATTCATCATTTTAAAAAGAAAACATCTTTAAAATTTGGTGATCTGCAGTAAAATCCCAAAGTACTTCTTTTGTTGGCATATTACAGTTGTTTGAAACGAACTCGAAGAGATTGTTCCATTGATAACTAGGTTTATGATTATCATTTGACAAATCAATTCTAATTAAAATGATAGTACTTTAGAATTGCACAGAGAACCCTAAGATTTCATCAAACAAAACATGACTTCATATTTGTAACTATATTTTCAAATTTGTGACTTGACAGCTGTATACCATCATGATAAGTGTCATTCTATACCCTGTTCAATGATGAAGCGTAGCGTTGCTACTTGGCTCTTATGTGATTTGCTTTTCTTGAATCCCGCCTACTCTTGGCGGAGTTTTACGCCCAGAGCATTTTCCGATCTTTCCGGAATAACACAGCTTAATATTTTGCTTGAAGTGGACAGGAGCTTAATTTCTCTGTAGTACTCGCAAAGGCTAATGTCGACTTCCATTGATAATTTGATAAAGTAGCTATTCTTACAATGCTCAGGTGCCTTTCCTTACCTACAAACTTTGTACAACAGAGGCGTCAGTAGAAGGAACTATGCCTGATTCAGCTGCTTACGCAGCTGGCTCTCAGTAGCTTTGTAGCATTCAAGATATCTACTTTTCTCGGTGGATTGGTATTAACTGACACTTCTTCAGCTGTTGATGGTATTTTTGGACGAGGTACAGATGGAGGTCGGTTAGAGAGTTCTTTGAAGTGACTGGTCCATTGTTTCCCTTTTTATCCCCGTTGATAATCAGTTCTTCCTCGCTATATTTCATTATTTTCATCTGTATTGAAGTCTTCCCGGATGGTGATATGGTTGTCTGGTGTAGCCTTCTGAGATCGTTCTTATCTGTAACATGTTCTGATTCAGTTTCCGTTGTGTCCTACAGTTATCTTTTTGTCTTTCCTATCACTCTTATTCACCTCCTTTGTTGTCCATCCTTGCACTGGTTCATCTTCTGCTTCACCAATCTTCTCTTCTTTATTAGCTTCAATGTGTCCGTACAGAGCCATTCCTCGTATTACCTTTTCTCTACTCCTGCTTGAAACTCACTTTCAAAGAGTCCCAGCTCTTTTCCCCACAGGTTTCCTTGCGGATACTACACATCTCCAAATTCGCTCTGACTGCTGCAGTGAGGGTGTTCTTTTTGGTTTTTTCCTGCAGTTTCCAGGTACTGCGCTTGAAGCTTTGTCTATCTGAAACTCCTTTGAAAGATTCCGACTTTACCTTGTAGGTTCCTGTATCTAGTTAATGGTTTGAGCCCACATCCTCTCCTTTTCTTCCCAACAACCAACATTCCCTCTTGTTCCGGGTTAAGGACCAGCTAGTGAACTAGGCGACGTTATCTCATTTTTTACTCATTATTGATTAAACCTCTAATTAGCACAAACACGTATCATGCAGCATAACATTTTGACACTGTAGTTAATTAGCTGTAGATTATTGTTTGAACCGTTCATTCCAGGATTTATTCCCTGCCTTCGTTCTTGGTATGCACCCTAGGATATTTCAAAGACTGCAGAGAACCATGACTTCCAATAGTTTTCTAGTTGATATCAGCTTAGTGCAAAATCATCTTTTTAATAATTTCTCTTACAGATCACCATTATTTATTTATATTTCATATTTATTTGTAAATATACATTTATTGCAGTAAAGCCTGGTGGGATCTACTTGGGAACAGTATTGACTGTTTACCTATGCTCCTATCTATATTGATGCATTTATACGATAATTTTTTAAGGCCTGTCGCCCCTTTTGTTTTCATCTATTCGATCCATCTTCAGTATTAACTACCCTTAAATGTTGTCTATTTTTTTGTCTCTATGGTTATTCAGGTTTCAAAGAATAGTATTCGGAACATTTTTCACCTCTCCTTATATCTAGAGGATTTTGAAATCATACTGTGTTGAATATGTCACTTATTTTTGAGAAATTGTTCCAAAATCACTGAATTTAATATTTATTTTATGTGAATATATTGTTTTAATTTCAGAGAACAATTTGGACAGAGTTTAGGAAATCCACCGGTAGGTGATCCAAGAGTTGACGCCTTAACATCAGCCAACAGGATATTACGCCAAAGACTGCACGATATACAGAAGTTGCAGGAAAGTAGAGAGCCTGCACTAAACAAAGCTCATACTATGGTTAATGGTTTATTAAACAAAGTAAGATTAAATAAGAAATAATGCTTTATCATTATATTACATTACCTGGTGATTTTTGTTGCTGTTATTACTAATATATGCGTGTTTATACGTTCGACAGTGAACCACGTGTATTATATGATGACTACTAATCTATTCAGTCAACAATGGTTTCAAAGCTATGACATGCTGATAGTAGGTAGGTTGCCTAAACCAATAAGGCGGAGCCTAACAACAGAACGACTGAATAACTATGAACTGATGAGGATTTCAAAGCCATGTATTCAAAGTATTTAAACATCTCATTTCCTTAAGATACCTCATTTTTATCATCTAACACTGGTTAGAGCCTAAGAAGACAACAGCTTATTAGTTCCCGAGAGTATTCATATGGGTCTTGAGAATGATAACCTTCAGTGAATAAATTAATGGACGCGCTAAACTATCTGAAATAGCTTTAATTGAATTTGAGATTTTCACATCGATTGATTGGACTGAAGTGCTCGGTCTCAGGTTGACATATCGGCTTCTTGTGTAGATGCTTCGACGATGTCTGGGCGTTTAGTTAGTATTTAATTGGTGGATGGTGACTTTCAGTGGAACTCAGGATGCGCATTTCGTCTTACTTGGGACTCGTCAGTGGCTCTCGTGACACAAGTGGTCTAGTGGATAACGCTTTGGCGTTAGAAACTATGGCTACTAGGTTAGAGCCTCGGTGGGAGCATCATCACTCACTGAGAAATGGAGGTACATCCAGTTGACGAGTCCCCAACAGGACGAAATGCGCATCCTGGATTCCCCTGCTAATCACCATCCACCAATTAAATACATCTGAAATATTTTTGTTCCACACTGTGATGCAGTATGATCTATTATGTAACTTTCCGAAAACAAATTGAAAAATAATAATACATCAAATTTTAGGGGTTCAAATTCTACTATATTGTTTTGCACCAGAATTCATGTTACGTTTCTAGCTGTACCATTTATGTGATGTTACTTCCAGAATTTTTATTTTACAGAATAGTTTAAACTACTTAATTAAATAAAAAGTAAGATGTATATTATCACTGAATGATTTTGGTTAGAGAACCATTGGAAAGCACAGAGCCCTAGACAGTTGTTTCTCCCTAGTTTGGGATTACTTAGTAGTGTGCACTCATGATCCAAACAAACATCTAACCCGAGACCTTCACAAAATGAAGACTTCCCGTTCAACCATTGAGCTGGGATTTAATGACCCGTAAGTTCTAACGTTGGTTATTTCTCTGTCTAGTGTCACCAAAATCCAATGCCATTAGTGAGTCTTAGTCTTCACTCCTAACATCGCATAAACTGCCTCATGAACAGTTTAAATTATCTTTAATATTTTGTAATTTTTAGACCTTTTTTCATTCTACAAAGATGATCATTTGGTATTAGAATCAGAAACTTTTTAATCAGCTTAATTCAACATTCTTGTATATAAGAATTGCTAACTATTCTTAACATTTCTGTTCCAATTTGCACACAGCAACACAAACAAGCTTCGATAATACATGAAGGTACACGGGATTATACACAGTCGCCACCTACCTCATATACAAATAATAACCATCATTACCATGACAATAATGGTACAGACAGTGTTTACACTGCTAAAGCTTATAAACCATTGGAAGAAGATAATGTTTCGGATTTGCCTGCTTATACACCGACTAAGTTTGGTCGTCTTCCAGAGAACATTGGATCAGACTATTATTATGAAAAAGAACATGAGCGAAAGTCTTGCAATGGCAGTGATTATCGTAGTAATTTATTAAATCATCGAAAAAACTTGAATCCACGAGTTAATTCAACTCATATTCTATTGGAAAGATTACGTTCAGATTATGCAGACTTAGCAAATAGTGTCTATCGTATTGAAGAAAAAGCTCGAGATGCTGCTTCTTCTGTACAGTCATTACTGAGACAGTTTCAGATGGGTTTTATGGATACTATTGGCACAAATCCCGTTAATCAGATGCCAAGTGATGATATATGCGAGGTAAGATGATTTTTCAACCAGTTGTAATAATGTATCTAAATTATTTGCTTTAATGGATAATAATTTTGGGTTGTGGCAGGTTCCGAACGAATCACATGTGAATTAATAACCTGGCTCTCTGTCAGCTGGGCTAAGACATGTCATCAATAAAGGATCCTGTTGCAACACTGGCTAATCAGCAGAAACGCATCACTTCCTTTCAGTCTATATATCGCCTGATATCTGAAAATGAACGAATTCAAGAAGTTAAAATGACTTTAAAATACTAAACATTAAAAAATGTAACATAACATAAAATGATATTTATCGTTGAAAAAGTGTATACCACTTGCCTGCAAAGTGGAATAAAATGGAACAACATTCATATGAGTTCAGTTTACAAAATTTTATGATATGCCAGTTAAAATATTAATTTTAAAAAATATAAGCGTGTCATTAGCCTTAACGCTCTCAAATACACTACTGGACACCATAAATGGCCTCCAGAAGCTTCGACGTAGTATCCTCATAGCTTCGGTGTATCCTTCGTTCCAGGGCAGGAATATACATCATTGGGTCGCCCTTGCCGCTGTACCAGTGCAATATCTCAAAAAGTACATCAACTTCATATCATCATAAAGTCCGTAACTACTCAGCATAATTTCAATTTCCTTCATAGAATGGGGATAATCTGCCGGGTTTCCGTCAAAACAACAAGGCTCAGACTTTGGAAACTGAAAGCACCTACTCTCTTTGGTTAAGGCTACATAACCATCAACGCTATCAGTCATAAATTTACACAAATTCTCACAAACATTAAGCACATCATCATCCCTTACTTTTTTGTCTGCTTCCACACTGCCCTGTCCTTTGCTTGACCTAGACATTACTGAACATTACCAAAATCAAGCTTGAGTTCCAATTACACTTGTCCAAAGACTCAGATGACCAGTAACTGAATCCACTCCAAGAAGAAAAAACAACTCCTGAAGGGAGCCGATCAGGAACAACCAGTGAAGAAGATCAGAAACTGTCAAATATCCAGATTACTGAGATCCGAGACCTATCTCTGGTTTCAGAAGATTCAACTTAATACGCAGTGCCCTATGCTCTATGACCGATGTGGAACAACAAAAAACGGTTGGGCAACACGATTATTTATTCTTCAAGTGATAACGAAACAGATTTACAGTGGTTAATCAGTGCTAAAGTCTGTAAATAAACGTTAATATGATACACAAGAATACTTCTGATGGTATTTCTCCAATCTTCTGCAAACCAGTACACGATTTAGCAATGATAGTCTTATGACCCACGAATGGAGACAAGTTCGAATAAACAAACTACTTAATGTTCACCCACATTGCCAGCTGTTATTATTATTATCTCAACAAAACATGTGTAGCCGTTAATGACCAAGGTATTGAGAGTAATTATTAGACAGGGATATTATTGATAGGAAGCAATTTTAACTCACAAGTTAGTAATGCATATCTTAAACAGTACAGACTCATTCATTACAATTTTCATGTGTTATGATCTCCCACGCGTTTATTAATGGGTGACAAATAAATAATTATGTGATGAGAGCAGGCTGCTAGCCAATTGGTAGACATTAATTTACGTCAGTGTCTAGGTCACTAATATTGGACGTGAGAAAACATGAACAAGGCTGATTCAACAACCAATCACAGCACACTCAACGCGGGCAAATAATATTTGCAAATATGTGGCTTAACTTTCCGAGGAACCAGAAACAACCAATCAAAAGACTGTGTTTGTCTGCTTGAATAAGCTATAATAATGTACATGAAATATATATATATATATATATATATATATATACGTGCTGATTTTCGTAATAAAACGATCTGTTGCCGGCCCTTGTCTTCTGTTGTTACAATTACACACGCATTGTTTACAACTAACAATAAACAGTTAATTCATAATGTAGACGTCATTAAGATAATATGTGATTGTTCAATTCTAATCTATTCATTTCGCTGAAACCATTTCGACGATTTTACAGGACTAAATGTTGAAAATACTTACTTCAATGGTTTTGAGAATTTTACAGATACAACTTTTAGTAAATATTTATATCAATAAATACAATGATTCTTACTGTGAGAATATTCCGTTGGAACACTTTGTCTGTATCACACCACCACAGTAGAGCACAGACAGACAAGAAAAATCCTGTAGTTAAATGTAGTGCCTAAATACAAAACGAATTCTTATAATTCCAGTAAGCAGAGTTTCCATTAATTAATCTGATACACACTAGCGACTGGCTTTTCTTCAGGTAGATAGTTTCCTGGGTCCTAGTGAGAAGTCGTGACTAGTGGGTTACATCAGATTAAGTGCAAGGACAAATACTTGCCGATGACATAGCCTAGTAATCGCACTATGTCGTGGATTGACAGAAGTTGGAATCGATGGATCATGTGGTCTGGTCAAAGTGGCTTAATGGTCTACGACCTTTTAACTTGATGGTCCTGGACTCGAACCCTAGTGGGTGCGTGCTGTGGAGAGCCCCAAACTAGGACGAAGCGGCTACGCAGTAATCACCTGGTTGGTTTACCAGTGGTTCGATAACTGATGTCAGCTCATGATGAATTCCTGGATTTAAGCAACTTTTGATACATTTTCGGGTATCAGTTCAATTGTTTGGTCAGTACTGTTTTAAATATTTACCCACTAATTCAGTACACTTCGGCTATAGATTTTCCAATGAGGAACCAAATTGTATCCGTTGTCTACTCTTACTCAGTATATCGATCTTTACTGATTTCTCATTTAATTTCACGGTGTATCTAATAAACAGAAGTTTACAATTCTTAGATTTATCTCGATTACAAGCCGGTTATGAATACAATTTTTCGACAAGCTGTCACGTGTTTATTCCGCAGTGTTTAATCGTGTAATGATAGAATATCTCCATCTGTCTTCTGCTCTTTAATTTATCATGAAAGCCTTTATTATTCACTTACAACTGTTGGTATAAAATAGATGTTTAGCTAGATATTTATTTTTTTGTGATAAGAGAATCATGAAAGTCTCCGGTTTTAACTTCTATATGCGCTTACTTTTAAGCGACATGTTCCAGCGACCTTTGTCAACACGAATGACAGTCAACTGATTAAAATTGTACTTTCTTTCTTCTACTTTCCGATCGATATCTGCTTCCTGGATTGGGTAATCGAAAGTTACACATAACAATATCCCAGTGAGATAAACGGGATAAAGACGAATGTTTCCACAGATCCTAGCATGCCAGAAAGTTCATATAAATAGTGGTTAGACTAAAAGCAGTTGACATCATAGGGTAAGTCATTTACACTACGTTGGGGATAAAGTCGGACTGTTAGCAGAAAAGACTGTAACGATGGTAAGGTATTTACATTGAATGACTAACAAGACAGCCATGCTAACTCCTAATTTTTGAGGGGAAAGTGAGTTAATAAACTTCAGCCCTAAAAACAATACATCCCAGCTGGCTCTCTGGTGACCAGTAGCCGAAGGTAAGGTCTTCATGCGGACAAAACATCGAAAACCACTCTAAACGGTATGCGTGTGACATGCCTAAAGCAGTTGTCCCCTTAGCTGTGCAGTCACATAGTACTTAAGCTCTTTTTGTCTCGTGTATTTCAGCAAAAATTAAGTTGAATTTCTGAATATTGTAGCTTTTAAGACACTATTTAAATTTTAACTGTTATTCTACAATGTTAGTTATTGATGGAAATTGACAAAATATACAAGAAATATTTGCTTGATGAGTTAAGTGAACAATAAATGCGAAAAAGAGGACAAATCTTGAGGTTTGGGATAATAATAGAGATTTTATAAAGTTTAGATTCTGTTTGATTGATTTGATGCGTCTGTATAGAAACTCTTGATGTTTTTAGTATGTAACAACAGAAGACGAGGGCTGGCAACAGATCGTTTTTTTTACGGAAATAAACACGTATTTATATACATTTCACAAACATTATTATAGCTTATGCAAGTAGACAAACAGTCTTCTGATTGGTTGTTTCGGGTAACCTTGGAAAGTGGAGCCATCTATCTGCGAATCATATTTCCCCACGTTAAGTCTGCTATGATTGGTTGTTGAATCAGCCTTGTTCATATTTTCTAACGGCCAATATTAGTGACCTAGACATTGACGTAGATTAAAATCCACCAATTGGCCAGCAGCCTGCTCTCACCACAAGTATAGTAATGATTAAAACTGATACAAAACTTTAGATTTCAGAGGAATTTGAATTAGTCACCTCTGTTCGAATCGTTCCACAACGCATGTTGTCATTTTCCAGCGTCAAAAAACATTCACTTATATCAGTGTTGCTAACTCGTTCTATCTCAATTAATCTTGTCAGTTGGTCTGTTTATTTCATTTATCTGGTGACAGTGTACCTGTTTTAATATCTATTGTCAGCATCTTATTAAAATGTCTTTTCTTTATTTTCACATTTTGTTAAATTATATTTTCCAGCCTTTCAGCAGAGTACCAAATACCAATCAGCTATTTGATAAGTCTGTTACATTAAGATTACAAAAAGCCAGGTATGTTAGTCACTTCTACTTTATGTATTTCTTATGAGTACAATTATTATTAACTCTGACATACTTCAAAATAAATTAGTACTGCTTTTCAAAACCTATTCGTGTGTTTATTACATCACTTTAATTAATCTTAGAATAATCTGAGAAATTATAATCTTCCATTGTTTTAACGCTTTACTGGTAGGGTAAATTGACGGCGATATCAGATTTAGCTTTGTATAAATCCTAATCCATAAGACTGGATATAAATCATGAATTCTATCAACTAGTCCATATATATGAGTTGTTAAAAATGTTTATAAGTTTCTAGAAAATAAACCTTTAATTCCATTTAAAGAAAAGATGATTAGTACTCGATTTAAAAAAGGATCCACATGACTGATATAATATTTATACCATCATAAACTTTATAGTTCAGTTATTTATATACTGAGTATAATATGGTGTATATACGAAATTATAGTTGACAACTGTAACTGTTCCAGTGCTATCATAGTGACAATTCTATTGGTTTGACTTAACTTGTGCTTGTATGCTTATTTTTCTAACTACTTGAATTATTTTTTTTCCTTCACGTTCCCAGTGGAACATAGGGTTTCAAGCTCGAGGCTTCAAGTTTCTGTAGTAGTGTTTATTTTTACAGGATGGGGTTGTTAGTCTCATGCCCAACCTTTCCTCTTTACCAGTTTCACTACTTGCTTAGCGAGGTAAAGGAGTCCGTCGTCCGGTGACCGAACCCCGGACCATGTGCATGGTATGCAAGCGCCCTAACCGCTGTGCCACCGACGTACCTAACTACTTAAAACCCTTGAGTAATTCCGTATGTTATTTTGTTTCCATATACACCCTGAGCACAACTCTTTCATCAAACTATTCACATTATTACGTAACTTTTCTTTAACAAACATTTGTGACAATTCATCACTTTTGTTACTACTCTCTTATATCAACATCCAATTCATCTCAACTTACTAACTATATTTTCGTCTGGCAAATTTAATGTACACACACATACAAAACAACCATATATATTTACGACTGTACAGCTATGAAAATGAATTCGCCGAAAAGAGACTCTTCGCTGAACTACTGGTCTTTTGTCTATTAATGTTCCAGACCTGTTGTACCCTTTTTCCTGCGTTTAATGATTTAAAGCATGGCAAGTGGAACTAGTGTTCATCTGTTCAAAGTTTTACACTGACATAGTAAATCAGTTACGGTCAAAGAGTTAGGCCACAAAGCTCACCAAGTGTATTCTGTGAAAATTTAATTTCATTGTTTTTGTACAGATAATTATTGATTGTTTTCATGTTGTTACTGGATATATTTTGACTGACATTTTGTTAAATTATCATCATCTTATTCATAATGGATGGAGCATAGACTGATCATTATGTGACACTTTTTATTCCACTTGTAATTGTATACTACTGAAAAACAACTACATTCATCAAACATAGTCTCTGCTTCAAAACAAATTGTATGTAAGTGTCTTTCGGTTGGCTATTGGCCAAAACATGTGTCGTGCAGAAGCTGACTGATACAGCAAAGCAGTATGGAACTTGATACTGCTGGTTAGATACCAAACAGCAAAAGAAAACTGAAATTTGGTTTCCCACCTTCTCATTAGCTACTCAGTCGAATATATACAGGCTGAGGAAAGTTGACATTTTCTTCAGAGACCTTTATCTGTATTCGAGACCTTTATGGTTCTTGTTGGAATTGTGATTCCCATCTGGAAGCCAAAATTTATTGAGTAAATGGTGAAAACACTGGCTCTTAAATAGCCTCTTCATTTTGCCTTGAGAACCAATTTTTTTCACAAACTCACAATCTGACAACTGACTAGAGACAAATAAGATTTTGAAAAAATTGACTACATCTTTAGCGTTGGCAATTTTATGTTAAATCCGTCTGTGATGTGTAGAAACAAAACCATCATTAAACATCTTATGTAATCCCATAGAACCTCAGCTATTTTGGCAAATTAGAACAGTAACGGTCTGTCTATCTGTCTGGATTCAACATAGAACTTGGCACCGAAGTGCAGCAGTTCGAGTTGCCAGGTTCCAAATAGCACACAAGGATAGACAAGAAGATGAGTGAAGAGAATCAATAGAGTATGACAAGTATAAGAGTGATTCAGAATGGGTAATGGTAGAAAGGAATATGAAAGATTACAGAGACTGAATGCATCTGCACTGGCCATTGACAACGATTTTGAGCCATGTCACCTATTGTCTCCAGCCATTGATTCCTAGAGTCCCGAGGGCCCCAACCCGGAAGTCTGAATCCCCCTACCTGACTGACTCAGTTTAACTGTCAAGGATTTGATGGATTGACGAAGCCATGTTTTTGTTTGGCCACCACTTACTCTTTTCCGATCTTCACCTATATCAGCTAGCAATGCCCGTCGGGGGGGGGCGGTGGTTAGGCATGCGCAGCACCTGACCTAGCCATCTCAATCTATGTAACTTTATAGCCTCATCGATTGATTTTCCCTCTTTGCCCAACACTCTACACCTAACATCAACATTACTTACCTTATTATACCACCTAACGTGAGACAGAGATCGTAGACATCTATGATCAAAAACAGTCAACCTTTTCATGTCTTCAACTCGTATTGGCCATGTTTCAAAGCCATAGAGAAGGACGGAGCGAACTGATGAGCAGTACACACGTCCCGGTCTAATTTAAAACCTAAGTTGTAATATCCTATAAAAATACATTTAATTGGAAGTCATGATAATATTCTCTGATTCTGTGTTTTAGAGATACACTGGATCAATTGAAATCTGACCCAGTCCGGTCTTCGTTAAATCATTATCGTCAGTCAGATTTCACTATCCCATCAACTGCAACAGGAATAATAGGTGGAACAACAACATCGGTAACCAGTAAAACAAATCCACTGATGACTTCGTCATTAGCAACAGGTTCTGGTATGAAATCATCTACTTCGAATATTCATAATGAAGATGAACCATATGCAAAGTACTACAGTCAATATAACCGTCCACATACTAATTCCTTGAGATCTACATGGCACATAAGTTGAGGTAAGATTCTAAGTCATTTTACGATAACATTTTTGTCCTAATGTGAAAGTAAATATCCCTAATAATGTGTTTATAAGTGTGCTTTTATCCTAGGTTCTGCATTTATCAGATGAAATGCTTGACTGCTCACACTAATGCCTTTTCATAGTGTAAATAAATAAATTGTTAATTGTACTTCAGTTAATGGTTTGCTTGAAATACTTAGTTACAAACAAGAATCAGTCAGATGACATCTGAACGAATCTTCAATACTCTTCAGTGGGATGCGTCCATAAACTAGTTAGTAAGGACTGTAAGCTTTCACGAGAAAAAGTGAGTTGGAATCCAAGGATTTAAGATTATCTCCTGGAAATGCACACTTTACGACAGTTCCTACTCAATGTCATAACACTTTAGTTTTTGGAACCCATTGAGCATACGTTCTCATTAAAACTTACAGAATGTCATTTCTAAGCTGATCATTTTCAGGAAGTGGGTTGAAATTTGCCTGCTAAACTTATATGAACTGGGATTTTTTCAAATATTAAAAGAAACCTTATATATATATATATATATATATATATATATATATATGAATTTCACGTCTTTTTAGTGTCATCTGTCACTGTATTAAACTTATTTTCCCGTAAAAGCTTATATTTAAAAAACAATGTAATCTATATTGTAATATCGTCAGAAACTGAAGTACGTCCCACTACTCTCGAATACCTCAGTCCATGATGTTTATTTAGCCACCTTATTCTTAACTTTTCTTTACACGATGGCTTGCCTATAATCCAGAAGGAATTTTAAAATTTCGACATACCTCAGTCCATAATAATAATAATTATTATTATTGAAATATTCTAGAGGTTCTAGTCTACTGCTAAACTCTAAAGCTTTCAGTGCTTTTAACAATGATATGAGTATGTGAGTATTAAGATTTTCAAGATAGATTTTCTTTAAGGTTGGTATGATTGTCTTTTAAACATTTGCATAGTTATATGATTCTCACTGCTTACCTCTAGATAAGTTTTCTTAGACTAATGTATTTATCTTCTTTGATATGTTACTCGTAAGTGTTGATAACTGTTATCACAGTTTTGTAGTTGTAGAGAGCAATAAGGATGATCCTTTGTCTTTCATATCACTTAGTGAATAGATCCATACTTCTAGACATGTAGCTTTATAGTTGATTTTACAGTGCTGTTGAAATTTACAGTCATAAATTCATGTATCGAATATCTTCATTATTTATGCTCTCATTTTTCTGTGAATACAAAATACTCAAGTATTTGTTTGTGGGGACTTTGACGGATTAGTTACAGAATTTCATCATTAGCAGACATCGGTTAGAGAACTGTCGGAAAACCTGGGGGAACGGGACAGATGTTTCGGCCTAGTTTGAGACCCTTCATCAGTGTGCACCCAGGACTTTCTAGTTACAAGGTGAGCTCATAGACCATTAAGCCACTGCGAGCCGATCCAATGGCCCATGTTACCTAAATTCTGCCAATTCACGACACAGCATGACCACAAGCCAATGTTATCGACGAGTATTTGTTCACACACACACACCTGAAGAGTCCCGAACTAGGACGAAACAACTGTCCAGTACTCCCTGGTTTGTTTTTACAATGTTTCTCTAACCCTTGTCAGCTCATGATGAATATGATATACTCTTTTTTTTCAAATAACCGCTATACTTTGTTTATATTCATTTTCTTCTATTACTAAATAGATGTCGATGACTCGTCTCTACACACACAATCGTTCATAAACGAAGCCTTGGAATATCAAAAGGATAATTCTCTGTTTTACAGTTTGAAGTAAAAGCCTTATAAATCACTTTTTTTCATTCAGGTATTATAAAAATCACCATGGTATCTAACTTTCTCTTTTTTTTCAATGTTTTTTCTTTGATATTTTCATTTTTATGCATTGTGAACAATTAATTATCTAAATACTTTTTTAGAATATTTAACAATAAAAGACAAAGCCTTCTGTGTTGATGTTGGTTTGTTTTTGTTTGGTTTGTTTTTAATTTCCTTTCTTTGAAAAGTGTGTTTATCAGTTGGTGGTTGATTTGTATTCTTTTTTTGTCGTTTTATTCTTCAAGTATAACTTTCTTATTTGTTTGTGTTTCATATATATTCTTAGCCTTTAGATTAGATACAATCATGCTATCTTTGTGTAGAAGATTATTTTGAATGTTTATACAAACTGGTTACAGAGTAATTATTTATATATTAACCAGAAATGTTATACACTGATTTACATATCAAAATTACCGCACATAATACATACACAGATTAGTTGAGGTTAAATTACATTTTATACTTTGGTTTCTAGAGGTTTTTATAATTTCGTCCTTCCACTACCCATTATGTTTATTACATTATCGCTTATTCAATTACAGTGTTCATTGTGAGCTATTTCCACTTCTTGCCTAAAATGCGTTGTTTGAGAATCGAATAAATTTGTTTTAATATTATATTCTTATGTTATTATTTTCTTGGAGGATCTGGATTTCGCTGATGATATATGTCTGATTTCCCACAAACTGGAAGATATGCAAGTGAAAAGTAACAAGTTGGAAGAAGAAGGATCAAAGATAGGACTTCAAGTGAACATAGATAAAACAGAGGTGATGAAGATTCCTAGCCAACATCAACAGCAGCAACAACAACAGACAACAATCAGCCAGCATAAATGGGAGGAACCTGAAAGAAACAACCTCCTTCACCTACCCACCTACCTGGGAAGCGTCGTTTCAACTACAGGCCCGCGGAACTGACGAGGATGTCAAAGCCAGAATCGGAAAAGCAAGACAAGCTTTCATTACTCTCAAATCTGTGTGGAGGTCAACAGTACTCAGCATCCAAAATAAGATCCGGATTTTCAACTCCAATGTAAAGTCAGTGATACTCACTATACGGATCAGAGACTTGCACTGCGCGTCAAAAAGAGCATTTCAAACAAACTACAGACCTTCATCAACAGTTGTCTTCGCTCAATACTCAAGATCAGATGGCCGTCCAGAAAAGATCAGCAACAGGGAGGGATCTCTGGAAATGAGTGAACCAACACAGCAGGAACCGATTGTGAAACAAATAGGCAGGAAGTAATGAAGGTGGATTGGCTGGCCATAGTCTGAGGAAACCATCAAATGACATCACTAGACAAGCCCTTGCTCGAGTGGATCCCGAAAGGGAAGAGGCGAGTTGGTCGTCAGTGTGAGGGTGACTTGGAGGAGGTCATGCGAGGAGGAGGTGAAAGCATGTGGACAGACCTGGAGCAGGGTGAAAAAGTTGTCAGAAAACCGAAGGCAATGGAGACGCGCAGCTGAAGCCCTATGTTCCTCTAGGAACTAAAGGATACAATAATATAATAATAATAATTATGTTATTATTTTCTTAAGTTTCAAGTGGAGAGTAGAGGTTCAATAACTCATCTCCTTTTAACTCTCTCCTCTGATTCCACGATTATCCATAAGTTTTCTTCTCCTTCATGTTACTCCTGGATGACCAACTCGTTATTTCCCATGATGGTCCCAATTGACCGCCTGGCGCGGTTTCCTTAGAGTATATCTAACACAACTACATTTCCTCCTGCATATTTATTGGACGACAGATTCTTGGATGGTTGGTTACTGCAGTCTCTTGATGCTAATCCCTTCTGGCCATCTAGTTTTTAGTATCTAGCCAACGAAGTCAGCAGTTGATAAGAGTTTTCAATAGTCTGTTATAAATGGTTTTGGTGACGCGTGCAGCAAATCTCTGAACCATACCGAAGGACTGACTGACTTGACATCAGTGTTTAACGAAATCTGAATCTTGTTCCTTATATACTGAGTGCAGCAGATTTTCACACCGATTTAGAATAATGCACGCCTAGCCTGCGTTTCGTATCAGCCTTCAACATTCTCATCTGTGCTGCTTGTAGTTGAGACGATGCTGCCTAGATAAGTGAAGGAGGTGGCTTTTTCCAAATTTCAAGTCGATGGTGATTTATAATTTTTCCTTATTGGTTGCGTATCTTCTGAATTTTCGGTTGTCATCTGTAGGTCCTCGAGCATGAGTCACATAAGACGTGAATTATCCGCAAAGTTTGGATTTTCTAGTGTCGTTCCATTGGTCCGACGTGTTTGCCCGCTCCCCACGATCTGTTGACTGAACCAATCCACCACAGTTAGGAACATCACCAGTGGTAGTAGATAGCCTTGTCTTACTCCTGTCTTCACTTTAAATGCTTCGCTGAGATTGCCTTTGTGAATCTCTTGGCATGTCGTCTTGCCATAAAGCTGTTGAATTAGGTTGACAAAAGTTTGAGTCACTCTGTAGTGTTGGAGAAGTCGCCAAGTTTCCCAACGGGTAACGCTGTCGAAGAGCATTACAAAATCGATGGGGATGAAATAAAGAGTTGACAAGCATCCCAGGTCCTGTTTCATGGATGCAAAGCGTCGCAGTATGACCCAACCATAATCCATTTTTTCTGAATCCAACACGTTCCAGGTGCGATTTGCCATCCAGGGCATTTATAAATCCCTTCAAGATGATGCTGCAAAATATTTTGCGTTCAATTGAAGGATTGGTGATCCTGCACCAGTTCTTGCTTAGAACCAAGTCGCCTTTCTTTAGCAGTTTGAAAAGATAGTTATTCTTACAGTGCTCAGGTACCTTTGCTTCCTTTCCGCAATAGTGGCGTCAGCATATACACTCAGGTCTATGGATCCGTTCACAGAGCTGCAGGAAGAACTCTGTCAGATCTGGCTACCGAGGCATTTGGCTGTCAGTAACTCTGTGGCATTCAAGACACCTGGTTTTGCCAGTGGATTAGTGTTCACTGACACTTCTTTGGCTGTTGGTAGTATTTTTGGACGAGTCGCAGCTGGAGTGAGTGGCCCATTG